GTGACACCTGAACATTCCAGAGCCAAGGTGAATACTAATTCAGCAGGTGACTCTCCTATTGAATTGGCAAGTCCAACAGTCACAACGAATAGTACACGGACAGAGGTGATAAGCCCAACACATTCGGTCACAATGAATGAGTCAAACATGTCGATGATTAATAGAAAATTGGACTGAATATTTGCACAGATGGACGCCGGTAACAATCGACTTACAGCGATAGAAGCCTGCCAAAATTAGGAACACCAAGTACAGCTGTACTCAATAACACATTGGAAAGGTTAGATAAGCTTGAAAAGTTAAATATTGATCAAAGAATTAAAGCATTAGAAAAAAGAGAAACTAAGATAATCTGATGATATTGAGCATACAAGAAAAGCTCTAGAGTTCAATTCAGGAGAAATCACAGACATAAAAACGGGTAAAGTGAAAACCCCGTTTAACCAGAAATTGCTCAACGATGAAGTCGTGATGTTGAAAAACAAAAAGACGACCTAGAAAACAGGACACGTAGGAATAACATAGTTCTACTCGTAAAAACTTCTATAAAAACAACTCTCGACCAATACAAAATAAATGTAGACAATTTAGATGAAATAACAAGATACTCTATGATGAATAAAAAGTATAGCCGCGTTGGCTTGTACAGTATAGAACAATATAAAGTAAATAACAGCAGCACTTTTGAGACTAACAATATATAATTTATTTTCTAGCTTTCGTCCACACAGTGGACTTCATCAGGAGACTGTACAAATGGGATAAGAAACAACTATAATATACAACTGAAATAATGGGGGCGGTCCTAAAACAACAAAGAATGGTGTACAAAGCAAGTACAAGTCTGCCGAAATAGCAATCTAAATAAACAGTATTAAAAGAACAAAAGATCAATGATAAGAAACTGTTGGAAATAGCGTACAGAATAAGTCTGTCAAAGTCAATGATAAAAACAGTAAATAGGCAGTAAATACAGTATGGTAGCTATATGAGGCAAAAATATATTTTATAATAAGGCAGCTATAGAAATATATATATAAATATACATACAATGATGAGAAATAATTATTGACGGTAATGTGTGAGGAATCCTCGATCAATGTTAAGCCCTAGTTCTATGCAGTCTAATTGTGTAATTATTTTCTGTTCTATTTCTCGTTCTAAACTATTTTTGAAAAATTCTTTCTTAAACCTACTTGTACTTTCATATTGTTAATTGAGTAGCCAGAAGATGCAAAATGATTAGCTACAGGTTTTTGGGTGAGTTTGTGTTTGACGTCATGTTTATGACCATTAATCCGTTGTCTTAGTGTTTGTCCAGTTTGTCCGATGTAGAGGGCATTAGGGCAAATATTGCATGATATAGCATATATTAGGTTGGATGACATGCAGTTATAAGTGCCTTTTATGTTGAAATTATTATTAGGTCCTTTGACAATGTTACTGGATTTGATATGTGCTGTTATTTACTTTATATTGTTCTAAGATACTCTATAAATGATCAACTTTTATTGGAAGTTTTAATTTTAATGATTAGAAGGTCAAACAATAAATTATTCATCTACTAAAAAGAAAACTACAAACCAAAAGGAGAAAGAATTAGAAAAAAGACTTTCAAATCTAGAAATAGAATTGGACAATACTGAATCAACTTCTGAAGACAAACATCCTAAACAAAATAAATATCATTACTTCAGAAATAGATAATATCAATAGTCAACGAATCAAGGGCATGCTTATAAGGTCAAAAGCAAAATGGATTGAGAAAAGTGAAAAACCAACAAAGTTTTTTTCTAAAATTAGAATCTAGAAACTTTTTAAATAAATCTTTAATTGAACTAGAAAAGACCGATGGTACATTACTCAATGATAATGACCAAATTCAAAATGAAGTAAAGTTATTTTATCAAAAATTGTACAATTGCCATGACAATAGTTCCATTAATTTACAACAGATTTTTAAAGACTTAAATGTACAGGAGTTAGGCCTAAATGCTAACCAAAAATTTCTATTTAATGGATACAGAACAGGTAGTCTATCAGTCTCTCAGAAGCAGGGGTTAATAACATGTATTCCAAAGGGAGATAAACCAAAAAGATTTTTTAAAACTGGAGGCTTATTTCATTATTAGATACATCCTACAAACTTGGGTCGACTGCCATATCGAAAAGAATACTATCATAATAAATGAAGACCAGAAGGGTTTTGTTACGGGTAGATATATCGGAGAAGTAACAAGATTAATGTATGACCTTATGGAGTATACAAACACTTATAAAATTCCAGGCCTACTTCTTCTTATTGACTTTGAGAAGGCTTTTGACTCGATTGATAGACAATATATATTTAATTCCTTAATTTTGGAACCACCATACAACAGTGGATACAAATATTTTATAAAGACACTACGTCGAGTGTGTTAGTAAATGGACATGGTCACCGTTCTTTAAGGTCAATAGAGGATGTAGGCAAGGTGATCAACTATCGCCTTATATTTTTTTTATTATGTGTGGAAATGTTGGTGTTAATGAAAAGAAACAATAAATCAATAAAGGGTATTCGGATTGGAGGTATAGAATATGTTTTATCACAATTTACAGATGATACCACATTGATACTTGAAAAAAAAAAGGTTTTGTTAATTAAATTTTACAGTTTTAGACCAACTACTGGGATAGGAAAAGTGCGTTTTCGACGCTATAGCCTTCAGCACCCGAGGGAGAAAAGATCCACACCCCACCAATCAACACCTCAAATTCACGTAAATCCATCGCAACAATGTCCACGGCCTATTTTAGTTATAGGCTTACATCCACCTACTTCAATCATAATAAAAAATATTTATGTCATGCCCATCTATCATGTTGCATTTTCACTTGCAAGAGGGTACTCTACTCGAATGTATTGTCAAAATGGAAATTCCTCACAAAAACTATTCGGCAGAGTGCCGTAAACGTTACTAAAAAGGTCCTTTAGAAAAATAATGACAAGGAAACTATAATAGCCTCAACGATTGCCTCCTGAACTACTCATAACATTCAACTACATGCATCGCCTCCTTTTAAACACTCATTTAAAACTGTGCGGAGCACGGGTATAATTTATGTTAGTTTATATATAAATCATTCAGACAACGGTTTAGATCGGATCTTGTTGTTAAAAATTCTTACAACCAGGGAAGATTCATTGACTTCTGACGTTTGTGCGTCGTATACAAGTACTGTATAGTATAATGATCATTAATTTCGTCGATAAAACATGTAGAATACAAAGAAAAAATAGGATTGCAAGATAAAAATACAAGCACTTAAAAAGGTTTAAAAAGTCATTAAGACTTGACTGGATTACTCAAAAATAAAAACAAGTTTACTGTCCGGGAGCTCTGACAGTAATATATCTGACGTAAAATAAAATTCAAACAAGTAGGCCTATGCAATTTTTTTATGAAGTAAAATAAACGCCTAAAAATTCATCATAAAAGCTTTGAAAAATATATATAATTATATTTATAAATTTAAAAATAAATATATAAATATAATTTATAAATTTAAAAATAAATAACTAAATGAACAGAAGGCACAACATAGAATGGTAAAACGCTAAAATGTGAAAATTCAACCAAAATAAGAGCGCTAAAAATACATAAAATTATGAGTAAAAACTAAATCAATTTAAAGAACACGTTAATTAACTGAAATCAAATTACTGTTTAAAACTTAAATTATTAATTATGTGTTACAATATTCCACAAATCGATGCTGAAAAACATTAAGACTAAGCAGAAGGTTGTTTCTAACATCAACAGAAAAATGTGGAAATAGGTGAAATGCAAAAAAAAAAAATAAAGAGTTGGTTTAAGCAAATCTGAGGTGCTCCGTGTAAAGACACTTAGCGATGAAAAAATGAGTAAGAAAATTGATTCTGTTTTCAAAGTAAATGTGCTTGAGAGTGAGACGTTCTGGGTATGTCAAGACACAAGTGTGAGGTGTTGATTTAACAGTTGTGGCGTGTGTTTTCGAAAACTTAAACATAAATTAACCAGATCCTGGCCAACACGCAACAAGGGCATGCTAGCCTAGTTTTAGGTTAGCTAGCAGGATAGGCTAACGTCCCTTCAAAATGTTAAATAAAGTCGATCAGGTCACTACTTAACTTCGACAATGGTTCGATGTCATACGCTACACACTATAGTAACAACAATAAATAAAATATTGTTTAAAGGTTTGGATGGCGAAGTAATAATATATATCAATGCTTGCAGTACACCACAGATAGCTCTGAAACAGTGGCGTCACGCTTGGGCGCCAATGGGGACGGAGCGCCAGGGCCCCCAGGCACGAGGGGAATTTATTTCTGATTTTGTGATCAATCTGCTTTGCATTGTATATACATTATTAAAATGTGTTTTGTTTCTCACTAAAATATTCTCTGTATATATTTACACCTACTACATAGGTCTAGTAACCTGTAAACCTCCAGTTTCGAAAGTTGGCCTATGTAATTAATCTATGTTGGTTTTGTCATGAAATTGTCTGAATTATTTAGTATTCAGTAGTGAACCATTCTATGTTCTCTGAAAACGCAGTTTAGAGTTCATAATGCATAGCTCTGAGCGCGAGGGGGCAATAACAGTCGCCGCAAGGGCTCCACAAACTCCGTGACGCCACTGCTCTGAAAAGAATTGTTGTTGTTGTTATTGTTGGTTGAGAATATGTCGACGTTTCGATCGGGTTGCTTCAATTGTCTTCTGGAGAATAATATCTGCAAAAATCTCAAAACAGTGAATAATTAATGTTTTGGTTGGTAAGACTTGCTGGTAATTGGTTGAAAACTAAACAATAGCTTAAACTACGTGTGAAAATGCTAATACAAAAGTCTAAAATCCAAAATCTGTGCAAAAAGGGTGGGGCGTGGCTAGAAAGCCAAAACAATGGGATTGTTGCAAGGTGAAAGGAAAGTAAAAACCAATGGCATAATTTCCAGTTTGGCGGGGAAAGTGTGGTGGGAAAAGTGTTGCATTGGCTTAGGTCCGATTAAACATGGACAACCAAGTATTGTTGATGACAAATCCGATATATTGATGTACTATATCGTGTTTGTGAATTTCTATAGCTTCTCTGGTAGGTAAATATCATGATCAAAAACTAATGGAATAATTGTAGTGGTTCAATATTATAAATTTTCTTTAAGTTGTACTATCATGAAAAATGCCCCAAAAACAGTAATTTAGAATCTATGTAGATAAAAAATGTGACTGTTCTGAATTTTGTTTGCCCAACTTGTTGCGACGACTGATATTGTTTTTGATGTATTGTTATCAATCTAAAATTACTGGTATTAATTGCTACAAGATTAAGCAATGCGATGAGCCTATATATTTGTAAGTATTTTAACACATGTTTGTATCCACCCTATCAATAAACGTTTGTATTGCAAGAACTAATATTAGGAAAATATCATAGGGGAGTGATGTTTTGCCCTACCTGGACGTGATCGTACCGAACACTTTGTACGTTGTCAAATACTTGTTCCAGTTGCCGAGGGCATGGGACTCACTTCTGACCTCCAAGATGAACTTAGCATCAGCATAATTTAATTTTCTCGAGAAATTCGTAAGTGAGATTGGACGGTAGTTTGTTGCTTTTTTAGACTGTTGCTTTTTTAAATTTTCTTTTTGATGTAATTTCGACTGACTTTTTTATAATGCTATATATATACACTATATTTTATATTATATATTTTTTTTGTAATGTTACTGCCCTTGTCAGAAGAAAAAACTGTTTACAGCAATTAAGTTTGTATTTTGTTTATCCAGTCGCCGACAAGGGTCTTGTCCTGTCTTTTTTGTATTGTTGTTTTAACTGGCGAAATAAATGAAATGAAATACTTGAAAATAAAAAACACGAAATAGCATCCTGCAGTACACACTGCTACATGGGGGTTGGATTCAACTAGTCACTAAACGCAGTCTCTCTAGTCGAGTGCTTATGACCCCAGGCTATTTATCTGAAGGTCGTGTGTTCGATTCAGACCCAAATCACTTGCAGATTTTTTTTTAAGTTTAGGAACGTGTTGAGCATTTACTAACGCTTAGAAATAAGAATAGCTCTATAATTTAAGGCGGGTGATCATTAAAAAGCAATTAATTATTTATTTAGGTCTATTTCAATACTAGCAATCTGTGTATTAATATTTTTTGAGAAATCATGCTTAAACATCTTTAATATATCGGATTACATTTGTGTTTAAACCTCGTCATTCTACATGCACTCTTCGTTTCCACTTACAGGCGAAAATTGCAATAAACATCAAAAATACAATCAATACAATAAAATCACAAGATATAAAAAGATTATTATTATTATTATTATTATTATTATTATTTCTATAATTATAATTAATATTGCTATATTTACAATAAATATTAAATTACTAAAAATTATTTATAATTACAATTAAAATTACCTTTAAATAACACTTAAGATATTTACAAATTACACTTAAAACACACAGCACTAATGAGAAATATAATTATTAAGGTGATATTTAAACATATATATTTTTTTTAATTATAAAAGATATCAACTTCAGGACATTTTGTAACAAAATCATTATACAAACTAATAATCGTGAAATAAAACCGTTTTTACAGACATTAACACGACAAAACTGAACGGAAAATAAATCACGTTGACGAAGACGACGACTTAAGACTGATGGAGCGCAAGAACCTAAAGTATAATTTGTCGATTCGTTTAGAGTTACTTTTAGATATTGAATTAAAAATGACAGAACAGAAATCTAAAGATGGTCTAACCAGTGTGAGATAGAGAAAGCGTTTAGTAGGAATATCAAAAGATCTGCAATTGCGCCACATCATTCCCAAGACTATACGTATGAATACATGTTACAGATAATTGGTCGGATGTTTGCAATCAGTAGGTTTTTATCTGTTTGTACTGAACACTAGTGTACATATTTCATTTTATATAACATTGATCGTATTTTACTTGTTCGTTCTGATGATACCGAAAATACCTACAGTACCATCCATGCTAATTATGTCTGATGCCGCTTCTGAGACCGTGAAATATGCCTAATTTATTATCTTAAATCTTCCTTTTTTACTGTCTGGCGCAGATCATAGGTGAGGGGCACATGTCCCCTCCACTAATTTTTAAGAGAGATTAGTCTCTAATTTTATTACCACAGGCTCACTATGAATGAGGCTGAGGTGGGTGTTAACTTACGGCTGTCACCCATTTTGTTTTATCTCACTCCCAGCCATGGTGGGGCTGAGGTGGATGTGAACTCTTCCCCCAAACTTCAAAAACATATGTGTGCCCGTGCAACATTTCGAACCCCCGTTTTGGCTTTTACCTTGATTATATTTTTCTCTCCATTTAGGTTTGATTTGCCACACATGCAACACTGCTGCCACCAACGATGCATGCAACACAGGAGGCAACACAGTTTCATGTAGCAATAACCAGGTATAATGCATGTATAATTTTAACTACTTATAAGTGGTAATATTAATAATAATAATTATTATTATTTATTATTATTATTACATATATGTATGTATATATATATATGTATGTATATATATATATATGTATATACATATGTATGTACATATATATATATGTATGTATATATGTATGTACATATATGTATATATATGTATGTATATATATGTATGTATATATATATATATATGTATATATATATATGTATGTATATACATGTATGTATATATATGTATGTATCCATTAAAAAACCAGAGCCTTGCAGGCGTCAACGTTCCTATCATGATACATGACTTTAATAAGTATATATATATATATATATATGTAAGTATATATGTAAGTATGTGTATATATGTATATATATAAGTATGTATATATGTATATATATATACGTATATATATATATATAAGTATGTATAATATACTATTTCCTACCATAGGGGGAAAAGATAACAATGGAAAGCGTTAGAAATAACACCTTAATGTGAAAACTACGAAGCTGTTTAAGGGACATGATGAATTTTTATTTTATTTTCCTAACCCGTACGTACGCCTTATTAAGGCGTACGTACGCCTTATTAAGTCGTACGTACGCCTTATTAAGTCGTACGTACGGTACGACTTATAAGTCGTACGTACGCCTTATGGGTTATTAAGGCGTACGTACGCCTTATGTAACCCGTACGTACGCCTTAATAAGGCGTACGTACACCTTTCTAAGGCGTACGTACGCCTTAGTAAGGCCATGGAGGTATTATTGAGTCTTGAGGATATTTGAGGATTAAAATCGTAACGGAGTGTTTTATACACTCACATATTCATTTGTTTTAGGGCTAGTCTAGGCTAGACCTCGGCTATCAGTGCCTATTACTATATTATTTAAATATACTATTTTAATAGATAAGATTAATTTAACACGGACATAGTAATTCATACTTAAACAATACATTAAATTTATATATTAATATAATAACGTTAACGAATAAATAACAATAACTAAACTGTGTACATAGTGTATCACTACTACAATATTAAGATTAACATTTTCAATCTTATAATACATTTTATACAGCCGGTGTTATGTATTGACCTAGGCTACTACGGCTAATGACAGATGCGCTTTCACCATTAAAGGCTTTTTCTATGAATGAAATGACCTGTACGAAACACGAGCTCCTGTAGACCAAACCCAGTACCGTTACGATTTTAATCGTGCGGGAAATATCCTCAAGTAACAAGTAGTATCAGTATAATACAATATTAAATGCAGGTGGTGATGTTTAATTGGACATCTAAGTGTTGATAAATATTAATTGCTTAAGTCAGTTTTGATACCTATTAATACTATATTTTTTGTTATGATGTGTGAAGGATTCTTAGATAAAGCATACTGTACTAGTATTAATATAATAATTGTGTTATATTCTTTCATGAAGACATTAAAATCAAATTATGCCTGAATTAATTAGTCTAAGCACAGTCACTGAAAGGCACATCCCCTTCCCCCAATGCCCTTCCCCCAAAAAACTGAATTGATTCAATTTGTGTAGTAAACCATTGTTCTTGGTAGATAGTAGCAAATAGTTGCTATATAATTGTGCATGGCTATCCTTAAGTTGTCTTCATTTATCAGTTGTTTATGCAGGGTCAATTCATTGCTAAAATTATTGTCTTATTATGTTTACTACAATATAACATCATCATATTTGATTCACAATACTGTGGTTATTTTGCTGTCGATAGTACCCCTGTTTGAGAAAAAGGCACTGGCCTTCCGGTCTGTGTGTGTGTGTGTGTGTGTGTGTGTGGTGTGATAGAGAGACGCTTAATGCTTCTCAATAAAGTAAAACATACCATACCATTTTTAACGTTATATGTAACAACACACGTACCTTTAAACAAATTCGGTGCAATTTTGACTACTACTACTTGCACCACTATCCCCTAGAGCCTCTTCATATAGGCCTATATGTAGGCTATTCATCAGCTTCGACGGAAACCTCATAGCCATAGGCCTTACTGAGGACTCTTATTAGTTGTTTTTCACAGAGTTGCACATCCTTAAATTTCTTTAGGCTGTTTACGCTTAATGACACAACCATACTCTATGTTCTCACAACATGTATCACAAAAATATGCCTGAAACCGGCTCAGATTTATCATTTGATAACTTCTGTCCAACGCCATACTTGCAAGTGGACGTGTGTCGTTTACTACTTACATTGGACAAACGGAATGGAAGGTAGTTTGTGATTGGCTGAGGGCCTTGCAGCTAAGCCAAACTTCATTGTTAGTCGTCTTCTGATTGGCCTTAATAAGGCGTACGTACGCCTAAATTAGGCGTACGTACGCCTTACGTACTTACGTACGCCTTAATAAGACATACGCCTTAATAAGGCGTACGTATGGGTTAGGAAAATAAAATAAAAATTCATCATGTCCCTTAAACAGCTTCGTAGGTTATGTATATTGTTGTACTACTCAATATTTTGTCATTTTTTCCCCCGCTAATATTGTTTTCAAAGAGTAGCGGAATTTCAGTGTTGTCCACAAAATTTAAAGAGTGGTGCCCAAAATTTTAAATGACCCGTGTCCCACAATTTAAATTTCATTTATTCGATACATTTAATTTAAGCTATTAACGCAAATAAAATATGTGTACACTTAAATTATGAAGAAATGGTAACAATTCATCAAAACTAACACCTACAAGATGGAGTCTGTTATA